CTCAGCGGGCAGGGCCCGAGCAACGTGAACTAGAAGCGCCCCTGGGGCCATGGGGGTTGTGGAGGGGAGAGCCCTGCCGGCCTCCTCTGCCCCGGAGCACATAGCCGCCCCTGGAGCCGGAGGCAAAGCTTGCCCCGTCCATGCACTCAATTTCGACATGGGGTTAAAAGCGCCCTGGCGGGGAGGTTAACCCCCGTGGGCAGTTTTCAGGAGAGCCTAACGAGAAAAGAGCAGTTACTGCCCTGCTGGTCGCAATGTCCGAGCAAACCGAGCATGTTTGCAGAACTAGCCGTGAGAGCCATCCAGCCTCCGATCCGCGACCAGTCCTTCGTCTACAGCTCCCGGGACAGTAACGCATCGCGTTGCTCTGCAGTGTGGTCTTGGTGCTAGAGGAAGCTCCCTCTGCTAACGCAGGCTTGAAGCTCGCTAAGTTTCCTCTGCTAACAGAGAAAAGACTCCGTTGGAGGCTACCACTAGTTGGTGGCGGGAAGTCTGCTGAGAAACGCATTTGCAAACTGTATGTTGCAGGAAGGTGGCAGGGGTGGGGAGCTTTGCAATATAAATCACACAAATAGGACAAGTCCCAAGTGGAAAGCGCAGGTTTAATTTTAAAGCTGTGATTCCAGGGATTAACAATCAAAAATAGCTTGGAAGTTTAGAGGGGCTTTCTACATATAGACGGGGAAAGTCTGCAAACTTCATGTTAGTGTAAATGCTTCCACTCGAAAAAAAATAAAAAATAAAACCCAAGTCATTATGTCTGAAACGTTTTCAGAGTGTGTAAGGCTGTTTTAGCTGAGAGAGATTGGAAACCGATTGTCTTATGTCATAAAATCATAGAAAATGAGGGTTGGAAGGACCTCAGAAAGTCTCCTAGTTCCCTGCTCAAAGCTGGACCATCCCCAACTAGATCTTCCCAGCCAAATGTCCATTTGCGACATGTTTATGTCGCATTTCTGCAGTTGCTTTGTGGATAGCTGAAGGGGACAGTGTGTTTTTGGAGTCAGTTTCTCAAATCTGGCTTTTGGAAATTTTTTTGCAGAGAAAGTTTTTTTTCCTTTTTCAGAAGTGATTAAAAGTCAATGAAAATGGAGATTTAGAGGCAGAGAGAGTCCCTGAAGTGATTTCAAGCTATTTTTATCAGTAATGGGTAACACACACATGCACATGTACACACACACAAAGATAAGGATCTCAAAAACAAAAGAAAGTTGTTTCAGAAGAAGGGTGCAATAATTTTTCAGGAGACTGCTGCTGCTCTGCACTGTAGCTTTTCTCCTAATTACGAGTTGACAGTCGTATGGCACAGATACTGCACCGTCAAAGAACCACAATGTCACAGTGAGTGAGCTAAGGGGTTGCAATACACTAAAGCACTTAAATGCTGGCTTTACCTTTAAGTACCTGAGTAGTCTCACTGAAGTCAATGGGAACTGCATTTGTGCTTCTTAGAGCCAGAGGAGACAGATTAGGTGGGTGCCTAGGTGTTTGGCTGGAGCCTGGGCAGAATGCTCAGTAGTTTGGGGAAACAGCAGTAACTGTCTATTTTCCAAATACATTGGTGCTGGTGGAAACACAAAGCTCTGCCTATAAATCATACTTCTTTAACATTTGTTTTTAAGACAAATTTTGTTAAGAAACCATGGCTGCCCAATCAAAATTAAGATGTTATTTTCTCTAATTAAGCCCTATTAGCACTGCTTATTACAGTTGACTTGCATGGAACTTAAGGGTCTGATTCTGCAGAATGCTGGATTCCTACAGTTGCTAGTGATTTCAATGGGAACTGGTAGTGCTGTGTGCTCTTAGGCAGTAGCATCCAGCCTGCTGAAGTCTCTGGCTTCAAGGATTTGATCTTGCAGCCTTTGTGCACTCAGCATTCCTAATGAACTTCCTAAAAGTTTTGCATCCAAAATGTCTATAAAAGTCAGTGGTTGTTTGTGTCCACAAGGAATTACCAGAATTATAAATCTTATTTGTTACAGAAACAATGGTGCATCTTTAAACTCAGCAGTTACCTATGATTGCTTATCTGTATAGATAGGTGTTAACAAGATATAGATCTATAAAGCCAACAAGATATAGATCTATAAAAACTACATGTTTAATGTATTTAATTTTCAATCAATCTTTAATCTCAACTGCAAAGTTTGAATTCATTTTAACAAGCTTTCATGTACAAATTTCAGCAGAGGTAGAAAAAAGTGTTATATTGTTCAGTAACAGCATTTTTTCAGCTGATATAACACAGGAGTGAAGGTACAAACCAGATAACCTTTTCTATACTAACAGCAACTCCAGAGAGATATATTAACATCTTGTGAGTTCATATTTGTTTTTATTATATTGAGCACCAGAAAATTTAAACATACCCTGTGAGTTCATACTTGTTTTTATCATATTACACCATGTAATCACACCATTTATTACAGACAAAGTGTGTGGGGCATGTTTATTAGAGTTGGGAGGATGTTTGTTGAAACAGATCTACTAACAAGAAAAGAAAAATGTTTTGCTTATTTTCTACAGAAATTTCAAAATCAGACTGCAGCTGAGATCATATCATTGATATAACGAAAATGTTTTTGTACAAAAATATTCATGCAGTGCCAATTAAAAAAGCTGAAAATTACAGGCACTTTCCAAGTGAAATGTTGCAAGCAACATAAACTGCTTTAAACAGCATCTCAGGTTAACCTATTAATCCCTAGTGATTATTAATATCAAAATCATTACAGCCTAAACTTTCTGTTCCATGGACAGTTAAACAATTATAAAAAGATTTAAAACATAGCTAATCACAGAATTAGTAAACTAATCGGTTGCTATTAGTTTAACATTCCTAAAGCATATAAAATCCATAGACAGAATGCTTCCAATATAGGCAAATCAAATATTCTTATTGTTATTTGTTTTCATCTATAATTAGATAAATGGAAACTATAAAATTAATAATGAATGTAAAAGTACACTATTTCAAATGTAGTAAGTAGTCCATGACTTAAAATATCTCACCATTTACAAGACTATAATTGTAGTGATTTATTCACTTGTTAGAGTGCCATCTATTTAAGAAAGTACAGTGGAAATTATTTTGTGAGGTGAAACAATTTCAACATAAATGTTAACTTAATTCAGTTTTACCTAAACCTATTTAATCTTTGTCAAAATCCTTGTCATGACACATTTTGAGCTATTCAGGTCTAAAACTGTTCTGACTTTTCACTTTGGCATCTTACATAATAATTTTTAACAAACAGCACCGAGAACATTGAAGTGGTTCTTTATAGAATTAATCACTGTGGCATAGAAAAGGAGAAAAATTGTGGATGAAAAGAACAAATATTGGTATACTGCAATTCATTCCTGTTACTGAAAATCATGATGGCATGGAAAATAATTTCCATTACATACCAATAATTATTACTAATGAATATCAGTATTAACTATTTTCTCTAGTACATGTAGATAAGCTGTGACAAGCTACATTGTACAACATTTATCTATGTTTTGTTAACTTATGCTATACTTCAGCATGTAAAATGATTATGTAGGTCAAGGGGCAGTTTTTCTTCTCTATACAGAGCTACTTAGTGATATTCATCTTCCTCATATCTGACACTACTATAGCACCCAGACTATGTAGACCTGTAGTCTAATCTTGCATAGCAAAACCTATATTTCTATGTATTTAAAATTTGAACCCAAGTATATTTGAAATATTTGTTAAAACAATAAAAACAGAAAAGACACTATAGAGTAATACAGCTGTAGGAGTCACTGGAGATACTTAGAACATCATCTTACAGATGGCTTCTTTTCACTATTATTGTTTTTTTATGTTCTATCTTGTAAGTAAATGTGTCAACACAGATAGCAATCTCACATTTGTATACAGGATGGAAAATTTACCAAACTAAGATTTTCCTAAAATGTATTCATGTTACCTTATTTTATAAGGATCCAATACACTCTTATAATTGTTAGTATTTTTTAAGTGACTTCATAACAAGAGTGGATAAGAAGTAATAAATAAAATAGAGGTTTTTTGGATCTACTCATGAATCTTCATATTTTTTCTATTTTTTTTACATTCCCAAGCCAGAATAGAGGTGTGTGAGTGTGCACACTTGTGTCTTTGTTTAAAATATAATCATGAATTGCCATGCCAGATCAGAATAACAGTCCATCTAGCCCAGTCTCCTGCCTCTTACAGAGGCCAGTGCCAGCTGCTTCATAGAAAGGTGAAAGAACTGCATAACAACTATTAAATAAATTGTAGACAAAGGAAATTTCTACAACCCATTCATAAAGGTTGGATTCTGTGCTTTAAAATAAATAAGTAAAGGCCAGAAAACACCAAGGTGTTTGTTTCTACTAAACCAGTCTTAGTAAATCACATCAATTTTTCAGGCGTGCACACTAGAATGTGAGGGAAAACTGCCTTCTTCAAAAGCCTGGGAAACCTGCAAGGAGATTCTACAACTGACTAAACTGGATCTTTCTGCGGAGGGCAACAGTGCTCCAGCAGACAACAAGAAAGAACAGGATGAGAACCATTTGCTAGTGAAGAAGTATGGTGGCTTCATGAAAAGGTACGGTGGCTTCATGAAGAAAATGGACGAGCTTTACCATGTAGAACCAGAGGAGGAAACCACTGGAGGAGAGATTCTTGCTAAGCGGTATGGAGGATTCATGAAGAAAGACTCAGATGATGACACCCTGGCTAATTCTTCCGATCTGCTGAAGGAGCTTCTGGGAACAGGAGACAACAATGAAGCTGGACATTATCGAGAGATAAATGAGAATGATGGGGAGGTCAGCAAAAGATATGGTGGCTTCATGAGAAGCATAAAGCGCAGTCCAGAACTAGAAGATGAAGCCAAAGAGTTGCAAAAGAGATACGGTGGCTTTATGAGAAGAGTAGGTAGGCCAGAATGGTGGCTAGACTACCAGAAACGATATGGTGGATTTCTTAAGCGCTTCACTGATTCTGTTCTGCCTTCAGAAGAAGATGGGGAAAGTTATTCCAAAGAGGTTCCAGAGATGGAAAAGAGATATGGTGGATTTATGAGATTTTAACACCCTCCCCTTTTATCCCTTTTGTCCCAAATGAGAGAGACTGCCTCATTGGTCATAATTTATTGTAATGTGTTGCTTGTACTGTACAGTTTTTTACTGTCCTAGTTAATGATGCAATCTGCAATCTGTTGTTTCAGGTTCCGTGTTCTTTTAAATCAATAAGTAGGTTCTGTTTTAGTCCAATTTAAATCTATATTGTAGTTTTCATGCCAAAAATATTTTGGTTACCTTTATCCCTTTTCTTTAAACAGAACAACACATCTTCAGTAAAATTGCTTAACTGTACATATAATAAATTCTTCATCTTAACTGCATAACGTATTGTGAAGTGTCTGTTACTTCTTTACTGTTCATTCTCCCAAAAGCCTTCTTAAATTCATTTGCCTGTTCTGTAAAGCTCAGTCTCTTTGGTATCACATCATTCCTACTGTCCACAAAACAGCAGGATCTGAAATTGGATTTTTACCTTGACTTTTGGGTTTCCAGTATATTATGAAAATGAGTATATCCTAAACTGGTTCAGATGTTTCCCCTTTCATATAAACAATTCAATGAAATCAAAGTTTTAAAAGTCTATGGTTATTATCCATGACTATTCAATTAGCCAGTACGCAAGAAGAAAATGAATAATAATATTTATGCTGAAATAAATCAAACTGTTCTTCAATGAGCATTATTTTGACATGTTATATTATCTTCATTTTTCATTGTACATATTCACATAAATTTACATAAGTTATGTTTACATTAATCTAACATACACCTGTGAAACTGGCCTTGGAGCTATAAGCATTTCAATAAAGTGTCAAATCTTTCCCTTTTCCAAAAACACCCAAAAACCCTCCAGAAAAAGAAAACTAAATGGAATATGTGACCCTGTTAACTTTGTATGCAGATAAATGTTTCTATTGTGGAGTAGCTTAAAGACAGATCCTAAGAGGTATACACTGATTTGGTTCAGCTGAAATCCAAGAAACTTTTATGAATCTGGAGCAGAAGCTGTAGTCCAACAGTAGCAGAAAATCTTAAAACTAATGGAAATGTCCACCAAACAACACTGTAGATCCTCTGCCATCCACCCAGACCACAGCTAGTCATCCCACTGATCTCCAGGCCTTCAATGGCAGTACAGTTTATTTAGGATTATCTTAATGTTGGTTTGTCTGCACAAGAAGCCTGTCCACTGAGCCTTCAAGTAGGAAAAGTTGTCAATTTCCCTTTCACA